GGGGCCCGTACATGCATGCAGATTAAGCTTCCAAAGTTTCAGCCTTGCAGCTTTTGTAAGACTCGAAATGAAAAATCGCTATAGACGAACACACAGACACACATACACACACATACGCAAACACAGACATACACATACACATACACACACAGACAACCTCTCGACAATATGCGTTTTTGCATTGCATAGATGCACAAAAAAACGCATAAAAACAGGAGTTGGATAGATTCTTGGACTCCGCTTCTGTTTCCATTCTTCCGGCTCTTTTCGGATCAAAATTCACGTTTTTTAGCTTTTTTCTTTGTAAATAATTATGGGTTAACAAAAATTAGAGAAATATTAACAGTAAATCACATAAAAATATATATTTAGAAAAGGCCTCGCGTCTTCCTTCACCCTTCCGGTCGTTTTCGGATCAAAATCCATATTTTTTGGTTCTTTTTTTCTACAAAGAATTATGGGTTGATAGAAAAAAAATCAAAGAATTTTAGTTTTTTCTTTTTTTTTTATAATAAATTGTGGATTAATAAAAAAAAAACCAAAGAATTATTAACATTAAATTTTACATATTAATCGTTCAAAAAAAACAAGATTAATTATTACTTTTATCATAATTGCGGATGAGATTCCAGTAGGGTACATCTTTGCGGTCGCCACCATCCAGCAATATTGTGAAGCCATTCACCGAAAAAATTGCTGCATCTTCATTGCCGCCCGAAAATATGTACATCAGGGGACGCCGCGATCGAATACTTCCAACCGAATGACCTGCCGGCAACAACTGCACCAAATCTGCATCTGAAATTTCTTCCACTGCGCTTTCAAAGAGATTCTTCGATTACCTTTTCCCCTTAGTGCATCTAAAAAATCGAATTTTTATGCAATTTTTTGCATCTATGCAATGCGAAAAACGCATATTGACGAAAAGTTGTCTGTGTGTGTGTGTGTGCCTGTGTGTGTATGTGTGCGTATGTGTGTGTATGTGTGTGTGTGTGTGTGTGTGCTGCGCGTCTGTACCGATTTCTCATCTCGAAATCCACAAAAGCTACAAGGCTGAAATTTTGGGGACTTAATCTACATGCATGTACGGGACCTCATCTCCGAAATGGGCGCTTTTTCCCGCGTGGTACCCACGTACGGATCCGTGACAGTTTCTCGTGGGTATGCTGCTAACTCGAGAATCTGAAAAGCTAGAAAGGCTGTAATTTTAACATGACGTTCCCCGCTCATGCAGGTATTAATGGGCTCAAACCCAGACATCGGGTGTGCGTGGTACCCGTGTTCGGGTCCGTGGAAGTTTTTTCGAGTAAGTTGCTAACTCAGAAGCCAAGAAAGCTTGAAAGCTGAAATTTTAAGGAGGTGTTTCCTGACAGTTCTGGTGGTCAGTTTTAATTTGTTTAGCTAGAAGCATTTGCCGGAAAACCGGGTGCCGGTAGCGACAAAAACTGCGAGGAACTATGCAAAAAACGCATCTTCGCGCGGACAGCCTGTGCGTTGATCAATTATTACTGAAAGTGAAGATTCTTTGATTACCTTTTCCCTTCAGTGTACC